GCCTAGATATCAGGAAATGAAGACGTCCTGGGGCACCATTCTCTGAAGAAGCAAGGAAAGACCTAGGGGAGGCAGAGGTTCCTACAGTGTAGTGTCTAAGTGGGATGTGGAGCCACCTGCCGGCCTGGAGTGGAAGAGAAACACACATGTGTCCCTGGGCCCTAGCCTGGACCTGAATGACCTGGTGGGGCTGGGAAATGTGCATTTTATGCAAGTCCTCACACAGTTGTTGTGCACACTGAAGTTTGAAATGACTTCTCTGGTGGGCAGAAAGGGAGGTCGTGAGCAGACTGTGAACAAGGCCAGCCATGCAGTTCTGTGTGTGGAGTGCTACACCAGAAGGAGAAGCAAAACTTGTATTTTCAAGCTACTCTTTCCACCCCCAACAGAAGAAAAATGTGCTCTGGCAACACTGTCATGAAAAACAAAGAAGGGACTCCTCCCACACAGCAGAGTTGTTCAGAAAGTACCACACTGCACTGGCAATAATCAATTTCAATGATTAAGGCTAATGTGTTTTGCATAAAAGACGAGAACAAATTAAAGCAAAGCCCACAAATGACAGAGTGACACTCTGTCTTGCAAAAGCACCAAACAATCTTTTAATTGAATGTCTAATTTTTTCCCAACACTGTTTATCTTTATCAGCGTTTCCAGCAAGGCACTCACGTTTTTATACCTGTAATTTGTAAAGTAAAATTACTCAAAAAGTTCTGGCATTTAGGGCAGTCAGAGCCAGGTTGTGGGGGTATGGGGGAAAAAAAAAAGTAGCTGGTCTTATGGCTTCAGATCCACTGGCTAAAGCATTGGTTCTCCACAGGAGTGGGTTGGATTTTGACCCCAGAAGGTATTTGGCAATGTCTGGAGACATTTTTGGTTGTTAGAATTGGGGGGTTCCTATTGGTATCTAGTGAGTAGAAGCTGGGGACATGGCCAAACATCCTACAATTAATAGGGCAGCCCCCCACGACAAAGAATTATCCACACCAAAACGTTAATGCTGCTGCGGTCGAACACGCCTGGGTTAAAGGATGGGAGCTAGTCTTTGCGGTACTGGAGGAAGCCTAAGGGCAGCCAGACACGTTCTAGGATTTGCTGGAGGCGCACTATGACCCCAGCGTAGATATCCCCAAGAGCCTCAGGGGCTACTCCAAATACACGCTTCATTTTACATTATGTGTTTCTCAAAGGTAAAAATGTTCTCTTTAGAAACAATCATTATGACTTGGCAAAGAAATAATACAGAGCTGTTGATAGAAAAATCCTTAAAAACATTCTAGAACCATCTCATTTTTCTGGATGGAGAACTGAGGCCCACAAAGCAAGTGCTGGGTGATGTAATCCAGTGGGGTGGCGGGAGGGATCGGGGGGGTGGGGATCATCTCATTTCTTTCCAAATAAGTTAAATTTCTGAAATGATATGGTTACCTCGTCTTACATGATACTGGAGGATAGTTCTTTTTGGTTATTAGTTTCTTATTTAAAATCTTCAATCCAGAACTCTGATGATACTACATATGCATTTTTTGGTATCTCTCTGGATTTATGTCCAAAATGAAGGAAGACGTTTTAAAAAATTATGCATTCTATTTTTGGTTCCAGGGTAAGTCATCTGTTTGAAATAAGAGTGCTTACCCTGATAAATGTGTTTGCTTGCCTGTTCTGGTAAAAACACGCCAAGAGATGAACACATTCATTTTCATGTGCATATCACTTACTAGTATACAGTCCCTAGATAAATAGGAAAGCAGTACATTTTTTGAAGTATAAACAACTGTAGATATTACAGTGAGTGAAAATCAAGGAAACACTCATATATTGCTCTAAGCTACATACATCTTCCACGAATGACATGCTCATTAACAGCCCTCAACTCACCTTCTCCCCTGGATCTTTTATAGAACTGAATGTGAGAAAGACCCAATCTACTGAAAAAGAACAATGGGAAAGTCCATTGTAAAATTAATAGAGCAAAACTCAATTTTGGAAGGTATTCTTTTGCGTCTAGTTACTCAATTTTTCCCTCCCCTTACGTCCTGTAATATGGTTTACCTTTTATAGGATATATGCTTTATGTGGTATGCTGTTTATGTTAAGTACCCACATTTAAAGCAGAGAAATGCATTTGCTTTAAGACTTCGTATTTTAGTTGGATAGATGGAGACGTCCACCAACATATGTTCTGGTCATCAATAAGAGTATTCCCTTTCTCTTAAAGTCGTAGTGTACTTATTATCCTTAAAAATTAAATGCCATTGTGTCCTGTATGAACTGTACAGTAAAAGTAATGCTTACATGTAAGCATTCAATATATCTTAATGATAATTATGAATTAAAAACCAGAAGAATCTTTCCTGAAACCACAGATTCCTCCTTCTTACTACTAGATTTCTGTTTTTTATACTTATGGCAAGACCTGAGCACATTCCCCTCCTCCACTTCCTTTTTACCTTCCATTCATTCTCCCATCAAAGAAGGCCAATGTGGTTTCTGTTCGCATGACTCCACCAAAACTGGTCTTGCTAAGGTTATCCAATGATATAGTTTGGATGCTTGTCCCCTCCGAATCTCATGTTGAAATCTGATCCCCAATGTTGGAGGTGGGACCTGGTAAGAGGTGTTTGGGTTATGGGGGTAGTTCCCTCATGAATGGCTTAATGCCACCCTTAGGATAATAAGGTAGTTCTTGCTCTATCAGCGCAAGTAAAAGTGGGTTGTTAAAAAGAGCCTGGCACTTTCCCTTCCTCTCTCTCTTTCCATGTGACACATCTGTTTCTCTTTCCCCTTCTACCACCTTTTGATGCTTCCTAAGATTCTTACCAGAAGCAGATGCTGATACCATGTTTCTTGCACAGCCTGCAGAACCATAAGCCAAATAAACTTCTCCTCTTTATAAATGACCCAGGCTCTAGTATTCCTTTATAGAAACACAAAATGGACTAAGACACCGAACGACCTCCCAGCCACTAAATATGACATATTTTTAATTTAAATTTTACTGGACCTTTTCCCCCATTTCTTGGCACAACATTCTCCCTGTTTGTATTAAATCTAAGTAACTTTTTGGAAAATTGCTTATCAAGTGCCTTAGTCTGCTTCTGAGCTCTGGTCACTGCAGCATTTGGAGAGAGAAAGAAGAAAATGATCCAAGAAAGGAGTCTAAGAAGCGAGAGGGGAAATCAAGAGACAGCGAGGTGAGGCTCCAGAAGTAAGTCAGACCCCACAGTCCCCAGCTGTCAAAGCCACAATGACAGCCTGTTTCCTCTACTTCCAGGAGCCACCAGAACTGTCCATTCCATACTTTCAAGGTCTCTCAAGCATTTCCACTACTATCCATTTCTTCTACAGCTATCTTAGTTATATCTCCTCTGGATTACTGAAAATTCCTTTAAAAAGGGCCTTTCTGTTTATACCAGTGTCTTCTTCTAACAGTTCCTCATGTTGTAATGAGAATAATTTTTAAAGCAAAAATGTGATCAAATTACTCTCCTGCTTAAAGTTATTATTATTATTTTGGGACGGAGTCTTGCTCTGTTGCCCAGGCTGGAGTACAGTGGCGTGATCTCGGCTCACTACAACCTCCGCCTCCTGGGTTCAAGCAGTTCTCCTGTCTCAGCCTTCTGAGTCACTGGGATTACAGGCATCCACCACCACGCCTGGCTAATTTTTGCATTTTTACTAGAGACACGGTTTCACCATGCTGGCCAGCTGGTCTCGAACTCCTGACCTCAGGTGATCTGCCCACCTCGGCCTCCCAAAGTGCTGGGATTACAGGCGTGAGCCACTGTGCGCGGCCTTAAAGCTATTATTTTGAGGATGCTGGGAACCACTGAAGCATCCTAAATCCTACACACGACAAACGAGGCCTTTCATGATTTGGCCTTTGCTGACCTCTGCAGAGATACATTTCTTGCTGATTCTCAACACCGTGCTCATGTCACAGTTAAAAACTTGTGTGCGGTTCCTCCATCCAGTGCTCTCTTCTCTAGGCCTTCGTTCCTCTGCTGGCTCATTCTCCTATCTCATCCCACATCTCACCTAACTGCCTCTCATCCTTTAAGCTTCCCATGAGGTACCACATTTCCTCCTTCACCTCCAAGGCCAGGCTAGATAATGTCCCTTCCTTGAACCTCCAGAGCACGCTGGATTATCATTGATAATCGCTCCCTCTCTTGCCATGGGACACATCTTATGACATCAAAGATGTGTAGGGAGCTAGTTAATACCAAGACTTAGTCGATCATAGTCAGATAAAACTATCTCTATGTAATGAGAAATTCACAAAGGCATCAAAAGTAGCTTCCAAAATCTTTAACTAGTCAATGGCAAGGGGGCACTGCAGACAGATTTAAAACCAGCAAACCTGGCTTGTAGGCAGTGTCCTTAGAAGAATTTTAAGGGGAAAAGGACTTGATAAAATATGGCTTTTAGTAAGATTAATCTGACAACAGAAGGAGGCTTATGTAAACACACTTGGAGCAGGGTTCTGGTACACTTTATCTTTATTAGCTTGGAAAATCCAAATGATCCATTCAGCTCCGCTCTGAGGGGTAGGGCAGGCCCTTTCCCATTGTACTATGAACCGTGGATTCCTGAAAATATTTTTGTATTCCTAGCACTAAACACATCCTGGAATATGGTAAATGCTCAATAAAAACGAGCTAATAAATGAATGAAAGAAAAGCGTGTTACCAAGCCAGATTATGAGCTGGTAGTTAAAACAAACAAAACATCAAGCATGGCTAATAATGAACCAATACAAACTTTAGAAACTAAATCAAAGTATATGTCCTACTAACTGAGACTCAATTACGTCAGCTTCTCACACGAAGTGTAAAACCCAGCGTACTGCATTTCTGCCCCATTTATACAATATGCTATCACAGGGCAAGGTCTCTCATCTGCCCCCAAAACAAGGAGTACTATCCAAAGACAAATATTTATCACATTACTTTACAAAGTACTTTTTCCCAAGGTCAAAGCACTATCAAGATGATTACCTGAGACAGTTTTGTCGTAGTGGCAGGCAAAAGTGGGCGGCTAAACTTCTTCTGAGAGCCGATTGCTGCTGGAAATGGTGGTGCAGAAAATACAGCTGCCACACAATTAATTTTGTTTATCCACCCTTGCATTTCTTCTTGGCTCCTATGAGAAACAGTTACGTTTATATTAGGACATTGCGATGTCTAAGTGCATCACACTTTGCCTATTTCACGTTACTGATTTGCAATGGCATGTGAAAATCATTCACTCCTTCTGGTACAACTAATCCCTGACGAAACTTCATTAGAGATGAACATTGTCATTAGGCGATCACCATAGAGGTGTGGAAGCTATGATCATCACAGTGCAAGACTGTGATTCTCTCCCTAGGAAATAGAAGGGAAAAACGAGTAAACACTTGACAATAAATATTTACTAAACTTTTACTTTCTGTTTGATATGAGGCTAGGCCAAAAATTAATTATAAAATTTACTCCTCTCTTTTAATTGTACGGTTTAATTTTAAAATCTAACTGAGGAATGTATTGGTAGACGTAAGGTAAAAGGATTTATCTACTTTGGAAAACAGTTTGACAGATTCTTCGAAAGTTAACTATGCATTTATCATATGACCCAGCAATTCTACTACTAAGTAGCTATCCAAGAGAAATAAAAACATATAGAAACGTCGGACGCGGTGCCTCATGCCTGTAATCCCAGCACTTTGGGAAGCCGAGGTGGGCAGATAACCTGAGGTCAGGAGTTCAAGACCAGCCTGGCCAACATAGTGAAAGTTCATCTCTACTAAAAATACAAAAATAGCTGGGCATGGTGGTGGGCACTTTAAGTCCCAGCCACCTGGGAGGCTGAGGCAGGAGAATCGTTTGTACCTGGGAGGTGGAGGTTACAGTGAACAGAGATCACACCACCGCACTCCAGGCTAGGGTGGCAAAACGAGACTCCATCTCAAAAGAAAACATACAGATATGCAAAGATTTGTATGTTAGTGTTTATAGCATCATCATTCCTAAGAGTCAGAAAAGGGAAACAATCCAAACTGTCCAGTAAATGCATAAGCAAAATGTGGTAAATGCAAACAACCGAATAGTATTTAGCAATAAAGTACTGACACACACTACAATATGGATAAACTTTCAAAGTTTTATGTTACATAAAAGAAGCCAGACACAAAAGACCACATAATATATTAGTCTGTTTATATGAATTGTCCAGTAAAGGCAATAGTATAGAGGCCGAAAGTAGATTAGTGGGTGCCTGGGGCTGGAGGTGAGAATGGAAGTGACTACAAAATGTACATGGGGATCTCTTTGGAGTGATGGAAATGTTTCAAAACTGGATTGTGGTGATGGCTGAGCCATTCTGTAACTATGCCAAAAAATCATTGAAATGCACGTTTAAAACTGGTGATATTTTATGGTATGTAAAGCATACCTCAATAAGACTGGTTAAAAAAAACCCACCTGAGAGGAGGTGAAAATCATCTGATGTGATATTTTTAATTTATGTGTCATTATATCCAGAAAGCCCAAGATTCACAGTAGTTAATAAATATTTGTAAACTCATAAATGAATGGTAGAAATGATCATGAATCAGGACGGATTATCTACCATACACATAATCAATAAATAAAAAGTCAAAAAAAAAAAAAAAAAAAGCCAAAGTCATTTCCTTCATCAGTTACTCTGCGAGAAACCACACTAACTAACCTGTGACCACGCTAAATGTCAGCTCCTCACGGCACCCTCTCTAGGCTGATCTCTCTGGCTCCGTTATTATTTCAATGGACTGTTTTTTGCATCAATTCTGTCCAAAGTAATTAGATCTCCTTAGTTATTACATCTGGTATTTTTGATTCAAGAAATCAGGGAATAGAATAATTTGAAAGTTTCTTCATGCCTAATAGCTGCAATTATACATCCAGCTATGGGTCCCTGAGTGATGTTAACCGTCCCATTCCCACACTCAAAAACCCGGGGCAACTTGTTTCCTTACAACTTCCTCCTACAACTGGCAATTCATCCCATTTCCTTGATCACAGTAGAATGACATCTTTTCCTTCTAGTATAATCATGGACTATTGGAGCTCAGAAGGGAAACAAAAAAATAAAATAAACATTTACATTTATTGAACAGTTCGTATGTGCCAAGCACTGTGTGAGGTATTATATACACTTATCTCACAGACTCCTCACTAGAACTCTGTAAGATAAACATTATCCCCTACACTAGTGATGAGCTGAGGTTCAGAGGTTAAACTATGTGGTAGGAGAAAGAGCTAGAGAAATGGTGTTATCCAGGTCTATTTTACTCACTTTGTGATAGAACTTGTCTACTAAAACCCTCATATTTTATTGATGAGGACACCGAATTCTAGAGATGGTAAGTGGCTGACTAAAAGTCAAAGGGCTACTATGTAACAGACAAAAATGTAAATCCTGGGTTTCTATTTTTTTTTTTTAAATTCTAATCTTCTTGGGCAGCTACCTCGCTAATGAAAGCAGTTCATGACTTTGATTCCAACTAAAAAAATTTCCCATGCAGAACTTGATTTTATTCCTTGGTATAAAGTGGTGCTAAGTGAACTAAAACACAAAATCAAATAAAAACCAACAAAACATACTGAGTTTGAAAAAGCAAGACCCTCCAGTCGGCAGTTTTAAGTTTAAACACGTTTGGTTTCTTCTCATAGTCCGTGGCCTTGGATGCCAATGCGTGGTGCACACTCACAGCGTTTTTCAAGTCCTCTTCAGACAAGGCCTTTTCTGGCTTGTATTCGTCCTACAGATGGATACAAAGAAAATAAAGGCAAAAATCATGACCAGATTTCAACTTAAATTTTTAAAAGCAAAAACTAAAAAAAAAGTTTTTAGAAAATTCAAGTGAATGAAAAAAATGAAATGAATGGTGATTAAAAACAACCTTATAAATGCCATAGAACATCATGTTGTTTGAAAAATTTGCTGAGAATGAGAAAATACATCTACCCAAGAGGCAGTTTTAAAAAACTGATACATAATAATTGAGATAAATAAGGAGCTAAGTAAGGCCAAAGGCAGAAATATCTATCGTACGCATTTTATAGTGAACAGAAATGAGACTTGGACCAACAGTGTGATTTGGTTTCAGGATTAAATGGATAAAAGCAACACCTTACAGATAACTGTCAACAGAATTATACAGAGGGTAAAAACAATGCCATTGTGTTCTCTGCTCTAAAGATACTACCTGTTACTTTCTGTTTAGACTAATTTTTTTTGTTTTGTTTTGGTGAGACGGAGATTTACTCTTGTTGCCCAGGCTGGAGTGCAACGGCACGATCTCGGCTCACCACATCCTCCACCTCCCAGGTTTAAGTGATTCTCCTGCCTCAGCCTCCCAAGTAGCTGGAATTACAGGCATATGTCACCACGCCCAGCTAATTCTGTACTTTTAGTAGAGATAGGGTTTCACCATGTTGGCCAGGCAGGTCTCAAACTCCTCACCTAAGAGATCCACCTGCCTTGGCCTCCCAAAGTGCTGGGATTACAGACGTGAGCCACTGTGATTGGCCTGTTTAGACTTATACTATCAAAAGAAAAATGAATAGTAAAGTAAAATGATTACTCCAGCTCTTTGGCTGAAAGAAAAGAGGAAAATCAATTTAATAATCAGGTGAAAGCTTAGCTTGTTATCATAAAATTGAAAAATAGGTAAACACATATGCTACAAACTGTTAGATATTTTCTAGAGTTTAAGGCCCCGCTTCCTCCTTCCCATATTTTATCAAAAACAAGATATGACGCTAAACTTGCATTTCTTCTGTAAAACACACACATGTACCCCCGAACACACACAACACATCACCTTCTAATTAGCAGTAAAAGCCTAAAGAAAGATATCGTCTGATTTCTTATCAGTCTGCTTTTACCAGTTTTCAGAAAAACAATGATAGTCCTCCATAATTCCCCTCCCCTTCATTTATCCCCTCCACAGAACAAATAGCTCAAATGTACTACTGCCATCAATTCAAACTGAGTCAAAAATAATCTTTAATGTGACAAAGCTGTGAGGCAAAGGTTTTCCCTCCACAATAAGATATAAATACCAGCTGTAATATAAAGATTATCCACATTTATAATATTAAATGACAAAACTGTTACTTTGGGATTGCAACAAGTCTTACTTTATTAAGCCTCCGAGGTGAAGAACTGCTATTGACAATGACAGTCTTCTAGAGTGGTATGATGAATAAAGGAGAATTTAAAAAATTAAATACAAGATATTTATATGTGCCTGTTACATAATTCCCAGTAATTCATAAAACTATAATCTAGTTACATTTTAAGATCTGTCTTGTCGTTTTTTAAATGAGATTTTTCTCAGTAATTTAGCATTCCAAATATTCACAAATCTCCTTCCAGGGAAATCTTCATTAGAGTAGGAATTTCAACTAGAGGTAGCATGACTACACAACCCCTCCAGCCTTATAATTACGCTATAACAGAACCCTGCATATCTGGCTCTCCATGTGGTATAACTTAGATTCCAGACAAAAACATGAGGTAGGTAAACAACTGGAATGAGGAGAAATGATGAGGGCCAAAATCACTTTAGGGAATTTATATGCCACCTCCATTTCCATGCAAACTGATCCCCTAACACACAAATGACTGAGTTTGCACAAAGGTTAGCCTAGAAATTTGTGTGTACCTTTTTTTTATATTCTAGGTCCATGATTTAAGCTTTTATCTTAATTCCTCTTCCCTATTTTCTTTGAATTAATATTTTATTGTTGTTTGAATTTCTTAAGATGATTACCTAGTTCTTTTATTTTCTGTATTTCTCCTTTGGTTAAGAAAGAATTTAAGGTTACAATTTTTCCTCTGAGTATGGGTTACACTGCATAGCAGAGTTTGGAAACGAAAAGTATTTTTTCAATGCTTTCTAGATAGTTTGTAGTTTTAATTTTTATCCATTCTTTAATCTTAGCAACATCAAAGAATGTGTTTCTCAAATTTAAGGCAAAGTTTTAGTTATATATTATTATACATTCATAATTTTATTGGTTTATGACCAGAGAATAAGGTCTAGAAAATCCATTTTTCCCAAATTTGGTAAGGTTTTTCTTGTGGCCAATTACATGTTTGATTTTTGTTAATGTTGCATAAGCATACAAAAAATTTATTCTTTTAGGGATGAATGTGTATTTATATTCAAAGTTTACTGACTCAGTTCCTCTGCCCTTACAGCATTTTTTCTAGTAGTTTCTCCCCTTCAGACAAGTATATTAACCGTTTCCACTTCAAGTTCTTGTTGCATTTCTGATAGCTTTTTTATATATATTTTAGTTGCTATGTTGTCTGGTGCATTTAGGTTTATAACTATCACCTTCCTTATAACTATGTGCCACTTATTACTTAAAATGTTCTTCTTTATCCTGTTAAATGCTTAGTCATATAAGATGGAAATTTAAAAGAGTCTTTCTTTTAAGAAAATGCTCTATTTATCTATTCCTCACCCACATCAACAAGACTTTGAAAAATGTTTTGTTCTGCAATCTTACTAAAATTATCATGTTATGCATTTTCTGTTTCAAGAAACCTTATTTTGAATTTAGATTATACATTCTGAGTCTCCCCTCATATATTTAACTGCATCTGTGTTTCCTTGCTCACCTGCTTCTTTCTTTTTTCCATCTTGACCTCTCTCCTCTCATACCTTTGCTATTTTCTCTTCTCTCAAGTATTTTCTTTAGGTAGGTGGTATACTGTTTTATTCTTATCCTCAAGTATCTTTCATTTCTTTGATAGGTATAGAACTGGACATAGAACATAAGGCTGCAGCCTTCTTCACTTGTTTTACTTATCGTCTGGAGATTCTACCACCTTCTAGCTTCCAGTTTAGTACAAGTCCAATGCCAATCTGATTATTTTCTCTTAGGAATCACATACAGGTTTTCCTTTAATCTTAGAATTCAGGATTTTTTGCTAGGTTATGCCTTACTTTTCTTATCCATCCAGTCTGAAACTAAAAAGTCCCACCCTTATTCTCCCTTATGTGATCATTACTTGGGTTGATAATTGCTGACAAAAGTAATAAACATACTTGCGCAGACTGTAGCTAAGACAGATTTAAGGTCTCCAGCTATGGTTGCATCCAGTGCCAACCTACAATTCCTTTACATCTCCCTGATTTTTGAAATTCTTCCTTGGCTTTTTGTCACGATATTCTCCTGGTTTCTCTCCTACCTCTCTGGTCATTACTTCGCTATCCCCTGTTCTGCATGCCCTTCTACGTAACCGTTGGGATGGTTTCAACTCCACATTTATATCACAACGTCTAACAAACTGCTATAGGTGAATACGAAACACAAAATCAATTGGTAGCTATTACTATTGAATGACTTAGACTGTCTCATTTGGAGCCACTATAAATATTCTTCGAATATATTATCTGCTGATAACTTCATTTAAAACCAAGCTCAAAGGATGACATTCTTAGACTGTTCCTAAAAATGCAAAAAAAAAATTTTTAATGCAACATTTATTACAGACCTAGGAAAAAGCTAACAGTAATTGTCACTTTGGAAGAACTGTACAATTATTTTAAAAGAGGACTCTATTCCAAGGTAGTTTCCAAAACTCTAACATACACTGCCAGATTACCTTACATTGGAAGGAAAACACTACATGGGGCATCAGTGGAAGACAGGATCTATTTAATTAGGGCTAAACTGAAGTTGAAAAATTTTAAGTCTAAGAAGCTTCCACTTTTCTAGTTGATAATACAATTTTACCATTTTTTCTTAAAAAGGCAAAATACAAACTTTAAAATATTTTCAGCATATTGAATTCCTACTAGAAAAATAAAGCTCCAACTACACACACACACACACACACACACACACACACACACAGAGCAAAAACCAAGAGCAGAGTGGTAACATTACGGTTGACAGTTGGATTAAAAAAATGACTTTATCCTACCAAGTTCATTCTGACATCTTTATTTTTCACTGAAGGAGAAGACAGTGTTTAAATGGTAGAATTGGGAAGGAAGAAATAAGGGATAAATTACTGTAATCAAACCATTTCAAAACAAGGACTATTTGCTGTGCAAACTAAATGTGAAAGAGTGAGCAAGATAAATCCAATCAAGAAATTTTCTGTAAGAAAAGAAAATGCTCCACGACATCTAATTACTACCCATTTTCTCAAATAAATGAGGGGTGAAACTGATGACTAAAAACATATTACTCTCTCGTGTTCCCTGCAATCTACATCGTTTTATGTAATAGGATTCACTGGATCACTCCACCGTCCCAATAAGCACCAAGAATGCGATTTCACAATGCCATTTATTTCAAATTTATTTAAAGCATGAAATAAAAAGTTTTTCCCCCCTAAGAAGCTTGTTAATTAAACCTCTTGGGAAGTGGCATCTTCACACACTAACATAAAAATCATCTACATATGTACAAAAAAATTGGCATCAAGTCTGAAAAACTGTACGTTCAGGTAAGATAAACTACAATTTGGAAAATGACCACATTGTAATTAAAATTCTTATCAATTTGAAAAGCACATTCAAGACTCCAGTTTTCAATATATTATTTACTTCATGCCTCATTAAATAGGCAAAATAGCTACACGTAATTAAAACAATTTTCAACAAAGTTGAAATGGTCTTGATTTCCACTGAGAGAACATAAAAAGGGGAAGGGAGACCACATTGTTACTTGCAGCTACGTGGAAATAAATAAAAATGTTAGTAATTAAAGGAAGCTGGGTCCTAAATTG